AGATAGAGAGCCAGAAACATCGATGAGAGAGAAACATCGATCAGCTGCCTCCTGCACATCTCCCACTGGGGATATGCCCGCAACCAAGGTACATGCCCCTGACCAGAATCGAACCTGGGACCCTTCAGTCCACAGGCCGATGCTCTATCCACTGAGCCAAACCGGTTTTGGCAATAAGCCAAGTATTCTAAGTTTAATGTGTAAGCTTGTTAATACCCCTTTCTAATTAGATTTTGAGTGTATTTCCCCAGTTTAATTATGTGAACTATATAAAGGGAATTACAAATAAGAATAAAGCTTAGAACTTTTGAATTAGGCTTTTAGAGATCATCTATCTAGTCTAATCCTTTTCATTTACAGAGAAGAAGCCCAGTGAGCTTAGTTTGCCCAAGGTCACCAAGCTGGTTAGTGAAAGATCTAGAAGTAGAATATACTACTTTTTGCACTCAACTGCACTCCATTTTGCCTTGACTGAGGCTCAGTAGAACAGTGAGACAGATCTGTAAATGATCTAACTTGTCACTGGAGAAAATATAAATCACTGGCCACAAAATTTCAGCCCTCCAGCCAAATTTCATCTATCACATCATAAAAAATAACTTGCCAAAGAGGGGTTTGAAAATCCAAACCAGATCCTTCTCCACGTGGTCCTAGAGGGGCCTGTTCCATTATATTGCACTAAAGCCAAGTGTTTCCAGCAAACGTGATCAGCTGCCCTTTAGGGTTTGGGTGTTTGAACTGTCATGATAAATGAAACCTACTAGGTTAATATAATCTCTTCAGCAGAAGTTGCTGCTCAAGAGGAAGGAGAAAATGTTCTAAGAAGCCAGTACCCTGTGTGCAGTCCCAGCCCGTGGAGGAGCCACATTTAACACCTGTCTTGACACAAAGTATTGCCACTTCCGATGCACATACATTTACACTGCCACAGGCCTTTGAAATCTAGAACATTTGTTCAGGGGGAGGATCAGCAGTCATTAAACCGAAGGCACCAATCCAGGATCTGGTTTTCCTTGAAGTGTCAGAAAGGTGTTCATTATTGCACAGCAGCTGTGAGAAAGGCACCACTCCTCCAGGAGCATGATTCTCTAGGCCAGGACTAAATTATTTTGTTTAATTCTCTGAATTTGAGATTTTTGCTGATGATTCCAAAATTAAATGCTGAAATGTAAAGAAAAGCATATACTTAGTCCAGTCAATGGGACATGTTAGAGAAGTGTGTGTGGGGGAGGTGGGGAGAGGGGTTGGCGGCAAAGAATCAAACCAAAGGTAACTTTCCTTCTGTAATTAAAAAAAGAAAATTTCAGAGAATGTTTACAGTTCCACAAATCCTACCCTGAAACCATTCTAACATTGCTCTCCTGTGCCTCACCTCAGTGGATAAAGGTTACTGTCGTTTACTGGATACAGGAAAACACTGTTTACAGGTGGTTTCTTCATTGTGTAGTGATCCTGCCTTTAGGCTTGTTCACCAACCAACAGAATTGTACTTTTCAATTCATAACTCAGCCCGAAAACCTAATTCATTAACTCAACCAACTGAATGTTTCCTATGTTTCCACTTGATCAGAGATGATCAGGACATAGTCTCTGCCTTCTGATGTCTCATGGTCTAGTAGGGAAGATAAACAAGAAAATCAGTACTTATAATACAAGGTCATAAGAGTTGAATACTGCATAGCATTTGGAATTCAAATGTCAGCTCTGCCATTTACTAGTACATGGCAGATCTTGGGCAAGATTTAACTCCTTTCTCTAAAGCTTTGTTTTCCCCTCCATAAAACATTGACCTTATGGGGTTATTATGAAGATTAAATGATATATTGTGTATAAAGCCCTTAGCACGATATTTAGAAAATGTAATCTGCTCACCAAGTGTAATCTAATATAATAGACATTGAAGTGTTTATAAGGTGCTTCAAGGTCCAGAGAAAAGGGACTGGAAGAACAGGGGAGCAGAAAGGATATTGCTAAGGAAGGCTACCAGGACATAATGGCACAGGCTGTGTTTTGAAGAATAGGTTGAAGTAGATGAGATGGGTGAAGAGAAGGGAAGATTGTTGATTCAGGCAGGAGGAGCAGAATCGGCTTGAGCACAGAGTCATGACAGAACATAGGAGGTTTGAGGGACTTGGTATGGAAATAGCTTAATATGGTTGGAGCAAAGGGATAATTTCAGAAACTGAGGCTAGAGAATGAAAGATATTAAAAGATGAGTAAAAATTCCTATACAGTGCTTTAATTTACAGTGAAGGGGGAAAGAGTTAAATTAGAAAAAGAGGGTGAATAGCCTTCAAGAGCTAAAATTTGGAATCAGTGCAAGGTATCAAGTAAGTGTCCTGAAGGTTGTACATAAACCCTGCACCCTCTGGTGAGCTTTAATGGGGAAACCTTATATTCTAACCATAATGCAACAAACATAGAAAATAACATTTAGTAATTAGAAAACAAACACCCAAACTTTCCACTTGGAAATCTAAAATCATGCATTTATTTTATTTATTTATTTATTTATTTTTAATCCTCGCCCGAGGATATTTTTTCATTGATTTTTAGAGAGAGTGTAAGAAAGAGGGAAAGACAGAGAGGAATATCAATGTGAGAGAAACGCATCGATTGGTTGCGCCATGACCAGGGCCTGGGCTGATGAGGAGCCTACAACTGAGGTACATGCCCTTAACTGGAATCGAATCCAGGACCCTTCAGTCCACTGGCTGATGCTCTATCCACTGAGCCAAACTGACTAGGGCTAAATCATGCTTTTATATAACTCTTAGGTTAAAAATTAAATGAAAATAGTAACACAGACTATTTGGAAAAGAACTATGAAAAGACTACTGAACAAAGCCTATTGAGTGAGACTAAAGTAAAACTCAGGAAATTTTAGAGCTTTAAATGCATCTGCCAAAAAAACAAGAAATACTGAAACTAAATGAATTAGTCATTTAATTCAAGAAACTAGACTGCTACATTCAGAAGTGATCATGTGCTGCCTGTGCCCTGGTCATTGATAGCACAGGGAGAGAATTGCTGAAAGGCATTTTCCTCATGTTTGAAGGGTCCAGCTCTCCCTTCCAAATCCTGGAGCTTTCACACACTAGCTGAGAGAGAGAGAGAAAAGGGGAGGGGAGGAGAGGAAGAGAGAAGGAGAGAGAGAGAGAGAGAGAGAGAGAGAGAGAGAGAGAGAGAGAGAGAGAGAGAATAAAGCTAAAGAAAGTTAAAAGCATTAACTAGTTAAATTGAAAACAAAATACCATTTCAAAAAGCAGAGTTGATTAATAAAACCAAAAGCTGTGTTTTTTAAAAAGGAAAAAAAGATAAGCTTTTGGCAAATCAGATTTTTATACAAGAGAATACACAAATAAAAAGCATCCAGTTAAATAAAAATAGAGATTTTAGATTTCAAAAGAATATCATGTACAACTTTATTCTACTATAAATTACTAAAATGTCACTTATAAGTGGGACAAAGCCTAAGGAGACTAAAAATTTATAGAAGAAAAATTGAAGGTAATCAAAGGTTTACCACCAGGCTCAGACAAGTCTGCCAGTGAATTCCAAGAAACCATCAAGGAACAGATCATTACTGCATAGAAACAGTATCAACTCAGCCTATAAGACCAGTTAACATTTATTACCAAAACAGGCAAAGGATGGCACAAAAAAAGAAGACTCTGGACTGATTTCACTTACAAATTTTAAGACCCTAAATATATTATTAGTAAATGAATACAAAGATATAAGGAAATCTATTGGTATAATTCATGATACTTGATTAAGATAAAAACATATGGTAATTTCTTTAGAATGAAAAATTTAAAAACATTTGATGAATGCAACAACATTCCCAACTACAACAAATATAAAACTTTAAAACTCTTGGAAAGCCAGGACTAAAACATACCCAATATAATCTATAGTAAATATCATACTTGTGGTAAACCATTAGAAACATTTTCTTCAAGGTTAGGAATGAAACAAGAATGCCTCCTACCACTACTAATACTTAATAGCATATTAGAGGTATTAGCCAATGCACTATGGCAAGAAAAAGATATGAGAAATGTAAACACTGGAAAAGAAGAAAGAAAGAAAACCGCCATTATTTGCAGAGGTAATAGTCTAATCAAAGTAGGAAAAGAAATAAAATCCAGGATAAAAACTATTTGAATTGACAAGAGTTCAGGAAAATGAAATAGATTCCATATACTAAAATTAATACTTTTTCTATACATCTGCAGGAGTGTATTTGAAAATAAAACAAAAAGAAGTATAGACTATTATAAGTAAGCAGTAAAAGTAAAAAAGTATTTAAGGATACATCTAAGAGGATCTGCATGAAGAAAAACATTAAAAATGTAAAAGTAATTTAAGCTCACCATTTAAAGATTCAAAGAAGGAAAAAAATTTTTTTAAATATTCAAAGAAGGGAAATATAAAGAAGAAAATGAAAATTACCTGCAACCACTCAGAAGAAACCTGTTAAAATCTTGGGGTCGGTGGGGGAGGGGAGTTGTCTGTCTTTACAAACTGTAAAAACTATGTCTTGTCTCTGAAAATATATATGGGATATTAAGCAAAAGAGAAGACAAAGCTTGTTTTAGAAGCATACTTAAAGCTGTGATGAAAAAGTAAGTAGAGGTTATAAAACATAGACTCATCAAGAAGCAGCAGAAGTTATAAATGAGATTTCTGAGTGAGTAGAAGCATACTGGCAGAGGAGTCCTCGGTCTGAGGAGGAGATTGCCTTTTTACCATGTTATGTCAGCTGATTACACAGATTAAGTCCTGGCCAGGAAAAGAATGCCCCTGGAAAGGGCTCCGATCCATTCCATCCTCCTGTATGCAGTTCCTGCTTGCTATTACTTACTCTCTCTTCCAACCTTATTTTAAAACCCAAACAAACCAAGAAAAAGATGGGTGCATAGTTTGGCTGAATATGCTTCAGATGTGGGGCCAGAGAATTTGTAACTGAACCTCCTGTTCTTCTGCTCCCCCAGACCGCCCGGGTTTGCTGAATGTGAAGCCCATTGAAGACATACAAGACAACTTGCTGCAAGCCTTGGAGCTCCAGCTCAAGATGAACCACCCCGAGTCCTCTCAGCTCTTTGCCAAGCTGCTCCAGAAAATGACAGACCTCAGGCAAATTGTAACAGAACATGTGCAGCTATTGCAAGTAATAAAGAAAACAGAGACAGACATGAGTCTTCACCCACTCCTACAGGAAATATACAAGGACTTGTATTAGCAGAGAAGTCCTAATTCACTGACAACGTTTTCCTTCTTCCAATTGCACTATTGAGGGGAGATCTGACACCTAAAAAATTTACTGTGAAAAAGCATTTTAAAAAGAAAGGGTTTAGAATAATAGATCTATTTTATGCATATTGTTTATAAAGATACATTTACAATTTACTTTTAATATTAAAAATGACCACATTATGAAATTGGTGGATGTATTTGAAGACTAAGTCTGATGTGTTCTCCAATCCAGGCTTTTTCCTTTTATTTTCTTCTCAATTTTCTCACTCTTTCTTCCCTCCCTTTCTCTATGTCTATATCCCTCCTTCTATGCCTGCCTTCCTTCTTTCCTTTATTTTTCTTCCTTCTTTCTTACACATTTTTTGAAACGTGAATAGAACTTCTGATCAACTTTCACTCTTGGTAAATTAATTATTTACTCAACTTACAACTTTTCTGAACCCTCCATCTGTTTTAACAATCACAACTAAGAAGGGAAAGGGAACTTCTGGACCAAAAACTGCTCGGAGGATGTGTTTCTTAACCTGGATGTGCTCATTTGGAGCACATGCCTAGGCCTACCAAGAATCCAGTCTTCTTCCACAATCCCAACCAAGATTTTCATTCACCAAAAGCAGCCCACCAACAGGATATCAAGGTGTATGCAAATACCCAGTGGCAAGTTATGAACTATTAGAAACTGTGAGTAACACAGAAGTGGTTTAAAATTTGGCACCTGCCAAAAAGAACTTACAATTGAGTTCAGGAGAAAAGATTAATCTTCCATCAAAAAAAAAAACAGATTATAATGCACAGTATTATAATCCTGTGCCAAATGAACTCCTAAGAACTATAAGAGTTCAAAGGAAGTGAGATTAATGAAGATTGGAATAGTCAAGAGTAACTAAGTTCATTGAAGTGGGCCTCAAAGGATGTGTTGGATTTGAGATAGGTAGAGAATAGAAGAGAAAACTTTCTAAGAAAGCAAAACAGCAGGAACAAGATGAAGAAGAAACCAAAACAAAACATGAATGAGGGAGAACCATGTTGTGGTTCTAATGTATGTAGAGTAACTTTACTAGAGTTATTCCTATCGTCTTCTTTGGGACCACCTTGCCCAGAGATTTCTTTTCTGACCTCAAAGGTTCATTGTCCATATCGTTTAGGTAATGCGTCCCCAGCAAGCAGCGTATATGTTCCCTAAAAGCAGGGACCTTCTTGGCACAATTAATAGATTCTTTGATTGAAGCCACCACATTTACTAGCATTGCTTACCAATGAACTCATACTACTATCCGGAGGTCTCTCCGCCAGGATGACTATTTCCACTGGCCTAAATTATTTCCCTGCTACTTCTCCCTTACTTTATCTTTCCTTATGGTATTGATACTCAGGAGGACATCACTTGACATTTGAGGCTTTCAAGCCAAAATATCAGGAAACATCTTTTCATCCTTTACCTCAAAATAAACAGATCTCCAAAGACTCAGGTTACAGAAGTGAGTCCTTACCCTGACCCTAAAAATGTGGGTTCCCTGATCCTTTAGGAGAGACAACACCTGAGCTCCAACCTTTAGAATAGATGTAACCACGTCATATTGGGACCAGCGACTGAAGCCATTGTCTAAGTGACACCAAAACATTGGAGAAAAGTGTGACAAATTCAGTTCATCAAATGACTATTTTTTTTTCATATGGCTATTTTTTTTTTTCTTTCCTTCATTGATGCCAAGCACCAGGATATTTTGAAATATCCACTGACTAGAGACTTCACTATTACTCCACGTGGAGAGTTTATCATCCAGGAGAGCTTGAGAAAGAACGGGCAGGCAGTAGACAAGGTGAGGATTCCACCTCAGAGGAGATCCCTTGTTTACAAGATTTATTAAACAAAAAGCCTTTCAGTGTGCTGCCTGCTCTCAGTTCCCACCAGCACTCCACAGCCCATCCAAGCCCTTTTCACATTCTCGGATCTGTGGCTGCCAATGTGGGGAGGAAGGGGGATGCTCTCAGCTCTTTGGCACTGATGATAAGCATTAAATAGCTTTTAAATCCTGGCAGCTTTTAAATTCCCATCTCTCTGACTTTTTCCCTGTGGTTTGGACAACCATTTGCTAAATATTTTATGACAAATCATATACAGCCTCCAAAGCTCCTGCTCCTTTCTCAGTCTCCCTTTCCCCCAGGATGAGTCACAAGTTAATCAACAGCTGTATCATCAGTTATTCATAGGACTTTCTCCGGACACAGACACATTTTCAGGTTTGTGTTAATAAAGAAGGAAGGAAACCAACTTTGGTCAAGAGTAAAAAAAAAGGGGGGTTTCAAGGCGCCCATGAGAGCCCTACCCCAGCACTGCCTTTGCATATGACCTGCTCCTCTCCCATCTCCATGCTGTGCTTGGAGCACAGGAACAGCAAGGGTACATATGGAAGAAACTATATCTGCCCACCCTGTTTCTCTAGCCACAGTCAAAAATGCCTGACCTGAGTTTCTGGCTTCTTTTTTAAAATTTAGATGAGGAATAAGAGGACTGGGGCTTTTTCAATAAGAACTCAAGAGAGTCAGGAAGCACTAGCTGGTGTCACCTAGCAAATTCTCAATTATAAGCTTGGAGGGAGAAATCAGAGGGACAGCTTTATCCATTGCACTGAGGAAAAGGGGATGGGGAGCTTCTGTGGTAGTTGCTACTGAATGACTTTTTCTCAGCTCCCTTAGGCTATTTTTGTGGGCAGGCCTTGACTTGGTTGACATCTACTACTGTTTGGTGCTGATAAAGCAAGTCAGGATGAGAGGAGTTGGAAATTGGTCCCCAGATGCCTATTCCCTTGGAAATACCTACTGGGGAGCAGGGGTTGGCATGGGGACCCCTAAAGAAAGCCAATTTCTGTTCTAAATCCCGAGAGAAAAAACCAAAGTTCATTTCCAACAGGAACATCCCCATTGCTTTCTCTTTGCTCCTCTTTTCCCACACACTCACTGGAAGAGTTTGTGGCTATGAGACAAAGGGACCAAGATGCCTGTGCTTCACTAGGTAGCCACCTCCCTATTTTTCTCTTACTTCACCCTGGTTCTGGGCCCTGGCTCCTGTTGTCTCTGTTCGCTTTATTATCACTATTATTATCTGTGTATCCCAAAACCTCACCATGTGATTGTACATGTTAGGCCTTCCACTTAATTCTTATTCAAATGAAATAAAATAGCAGGATCTTAATAGTTTAAAAGACCATCCGATGTCATCTAATCCCACTTTATTCATCAAATATAAACTCAGTTCATACTCCAGTCAAGTCTGCCACCATATGAAGATGAGTAACTAGGCCCTGTCCTCAAGGGTATCACAGCCTGTTGATGAAGTCAGACACATAATTACAACTCAAGTCAAGCGATGAAATGCCTGTAGATGTGAAAAGGGAATCAGAGGATGTGGGTAGACACAGAAGTCTTAACAGTACATAATGTGTTCAAAAAAACCGCAAGAAGTTAGGTATGGCTTCAGTAGCTTAGGGGTGAGAAGTGATGTAACCAGGTCAGCAACAGACTGTGCCGAGGCTCATTCTCCATGGTAAGGAGCTACCTTGGATGGTATTCATAGGCACTTGAGTTCTGGTAGATGTTACCGGCCAGAAGAGGGACAGGATCAAACTTGCATTTTGGAAAATCCACTCTCTAAAAGTCAAATCGCCTCTACACTGCTTCCAACGATTGTCCAGCCCCTGAACAAGTACCTAAGGGACAGGAAGCTCTCTCCTTCTTGACCCCTTGATTTCCATCTTATAGGCCTGGCTCTGCTCCTGGGGTCACACATACCACATGTTTGTTCCTGCGCCCTGGGGATTGTGACTCACCTTATTCTCTTCAATCCGGTTACAATCTTTTGGCTGGCTGAAGAACCCTGACTCCCGCCCCCACTTGCTGTCCATCCCAGCTGCTCCTAGGAGCCAGGCCTCACATCCCCCTAACTTGCAAAGTTCTTCTGCCTTCATAGCAAGGTCATTTCTACCGCCATATCAAAACTTGCCCATCCTACACCCATTTCCAGACAGTCCCTCCAGTTACCATAGAATTCTAGAAAATCAGAGCTCAAAGGAGCCAATCATCTCAAGTGACAGATGAGAACCTTGAGGAACAAAGAAGTTAAATAGCATGCCCAAGGTCCTAGGAGTCTCCTAGGATTAACTTATGCAAAGGTGCTGTATGGCACACATACTCTTCTTATCACTCACATTGCCAACCAGGGGGGTTGGCAGTTTAACAAGAAAATCTCAAAATGTGTGACAGATTTGAAGCTAATATGAGTATCTTCACTGAAGGAAAAGAATGGAACAAAGTTTTGGGAGGGATTATTGTGACAATCAAAAGATCCTATCTAATAAAAGAGAAACATGGTAATTGGCGTACGACCGCTACCCTTCCCATTGGCTAATCAGGGAGATATGCAAATTAACTGTCAGCCAAGATGGCGGCCGGCAGCCAGGCAGCTTAAACTGAACATGAGGCTTGCTTGCTTCAGTGACGGAGGACTGCAACATTCCCCGCCTGCGTGGCCGGCCTCTGAGCTTGCAGTTTAAGAAACATTGTAACAAATATAGAAACTAAACAAAACCCCAGAAACCAGCTTTCAGCCAGCCAGAATCTCAGAGCTGGAGTTGATACAGAGTTTCGATTATAGAACCTAAACAAACCAGATACCTACTTTCAGCAGCTGAGGCCTCAGAGCTGGAGCCAAGCCTCAGAGCTAAAGCTGGCCCAGAATAAAAAAAAAAAAGAAAGAAAAAAAGGAGCAGTTGGGAGCTTCAGTCCCAGTCTGAAAACAGCCCTCAGCCCCTCACCCAGGCTGGCCAGGCACCCCAGTGGGGACCCCCACCCTGATCCAGGACACCCTTCAGGGCAAACCAGCCAGCCTCCACCCATGCACCAGGCCTCTATCCTATATAGTAAAAGGGTAATATGCCTCCCAGCACTGGGATCAGCGGAGCTGAGAGGCCTCCCGGCACCGGGATCAGCGTGACAGGGGGCAGTGCCCAAACCCCCTGATTGCCCTGCGGCTCTGTGTGTGACAGGGGGCGGGGCCACAACCTCCCTATCGGCCCTGCTCTGTTCGTGACAGGGGAAGGCGACCCAACCCCCTGATCAGCCCTGCTCTGTGCCTGATAGGGAGGAGCTCCCCAACCCCTGATCGCCCTGCGGCTCTGTGTGTGACAGG